TGCTTGTTTAGTGGAAGGAAACTGGTTTATTCGATATATTTGACATTTTCGCTCTTTTGATGATTAAAATGTTTCATATTAACTTTGCACAAGAAGTGGTTTAACAGAGATTTAAACAGTATCGATATCGTGGGCTCACCAAGAGTATTTTTTGGTATATTTTACTAAATTATTTTGTTACAGCGGTACAGTTTTTTTGATTGTTTAGAGAAAGGAATGTTATTATTTATTTGACATATTGGCTGTTTTGATGATTAAAATGTTTGTGTTTCATATTAACTTTGCACAAGAAGTGGTTTAACAAAGATTTTTTAGCATCACAGCCATGATTTAGTCTTTATTCTTTATTGAACCATATCGTATCGAATCGAAAGTGCACTGTATCGAGATATGTATCATATCGTCAGTGTTGGGAAGGTGACTTTTAAAATGTATTCCCCTACAGATTACAGATTACATACCCCAAAATGTAGTTTGTAACGTAATCCATTAAATTACTTAAAGTGAGTAACGTAATCTGAATACTTTGGATTACTTGATATTGTCCTGGTTTTAGTCCTGGATTTAGTCCTGTTTTTTTTTTGTCTTGGTTTAGTCCTGGTTTAGTCCTGGTTTACTTCTGGTTTTAGTCCTGGTTTAGTTCTGGTTTTAGTTCTGGTTTAGTCCTGGTTTAGTCCTGGTTTAGTTCTGGTTTAGTCCTGGTTTAGTCCTGGTTTAGTTCTGGTTTTAGTCCTGGTTTTAGTTCTGGTTTTAGTCCTTGTTTTAGTCCTGGTTTAGTCCTGGTTTTAGTCCTGGTTTAGTCCTGGTTTTAGTCTGGTTTAGTCCTGGTTTAGTCCTGGTTTAGTCTGGTTTAGTCCTGGTTTTAGTCCTGGTTTTAGTTCTGGTTTTAGTCCTGGTTTAATCCTGGTTTTAGTTCTGGTTTTAGTCCTGGTTTAGTCCTGGTTTAGTCCTGGTTTTAGTCCTGGTTTAGTCCTGGTTTAGTCCTGGTTTAGTCCTGGTTTAGTTCTGGTTTTAGTCCTGGTTTTAGTCCTGGTTTAGTCCTGGTTTAGTCCTGGTTTAGTCCTGGTTTAGTCCTGGTTTAGTTCTGGTTTTAGTCCTGGTTTAATCCTGGTTTTAGTTCTGGTTTTAGTCCTGGTTTAGTCCTGATTTAGTCCTGTTTTAGTCCTGGTTTAGTCCTGGTTTTAGTCCTGGTTTAGTTCTGGTTTTAGTCCTGGTTTTAGTCCTGGTTTAGTCCTGGTTTAGTTCTGGTTTTAGTCCTGGTTTTAGTCCTGGTTTAGTCCTGGTTTAGTTCTGGTTTAGTCCTGGTTTAGTCCTGGTTTAGTTCTGGTTTAGTCCTGGTTTTAGTCCTGGTTTAGTCCTGGTTTAGCCCAAAATATGAAAACAGGAAAATACCGCCGTGTAATCCATTTATTTCAACAAAGTAACTGTAATCCAATTACCACTCACTGAAACAGTAACTGTAACTGAATACAGTTACTCATAATTTGTACTCTGATTACGTAACTCCAGTACATGTAATCTGTTACTCCCCAACACTGACTATCGTTGCCTATGTAAGTATCGTATCGGCAACTTCTTAAATCATACTCAGCCCTAATATACAACTTTGAGTAACTATTTGGATTAACATTTTGGTTTGGTTTGTGAATAGTAAATTATACAGAATAGAAAAGAAACCAAATCTGACTTTGTACAATTACTCAGTGGGAAGTGTAGTAGGAGTAGTCACTTCAGTAATATTTTGTGTCAGTCAAGTGGCTCAAGTGGCTAAAGTAAATGTAGCTGGTGGACTGGAGTACTGTGTTATTGTGTTTTATAATAAGGATTATCCAAACAGAAAACCCACAAATGTTTAGATGTTTAAACAAGCAGATACTAAAGCTTAAAGCTACAATTTTTTTATGTACAGTTTCTTAGAAAAATGGGGATATTTTTGTTGTAATAAAAATTGATTTGAGCTGTAGAAAGCTGAAAAAGTGAATTCTATGGTTAATTACTGTTATTTATGTGTTGCAGACCAAGGCTTTTAATGGTACTGACTATTTAAAAATGGTTTACTGGGATTATCCTGCTCTATTGTTATTGCATCAGTATTATTGTTTATCGTAGTAGCAATATATCGTGCTTCAAAACGTGTTATGGTGACAGGCCTAACCACTTGACCGTATCTGCATTACTGTTGTCTGACAGTATGCCAGCTTTGGCCTGACAGAAGAAGATCAGAGAGTGTTAAGATTTTGCGTCTTCATCACAAAAGCATGCGACCTGTTGTTTATGAAGCCATTTCGGAGGTTAAACAATCTGTCTGGACCAATGTGTAGTATTTGTGTAACAGCTTGGTGATCAACAAAGATCTCACGCATCCCGCTACGAAATATTTATAAGCCTCTAACCCCTTGTAACATTTCAGTTCTTGGTTGGTGTAGGACGATGTAGAATGAATTAAGTTGTTATAAATATCTGGATATTGGAGGTTGGGCACAGAGCGAGTGTTGGAATTAGGGATCTATTCCACAGCCGAGGAGGACGACTTTAGCATTAAATCTTTCTAATGACGGCTGATCTAAGGAGCTGGTGATTTCATACAGTTTTATGCTGTTTGTGCTCTTTAAAGTAGCCGTGATTATATTGTAGTAACTGAATAACACCTTCTAGATCAACCCCAACCTTAACCTCCAGTATGGCTGCCAAAACATTAAGTCACGTGACCTCCACATCAAACGCAAGTCCTTAACAGAGGAGCCGGGTGAGAGGAGCGGGGGCAACACTTCTGCCAAAATCAGATGGCAGCTTTAAATCCAACAAATCTACGGCATGAAAACATTTTTGGTAATAAAATATTTGATCACTGTGAGCAGACGTGGATAACTTACTAAAGAAGAAGTAGTAGCAGTATTTTTTTCAACCAATAAAAACCAATAGACCCAACATTCTTCCATAGGGCCAAAGAGATCAAAAGTTTTTTAACAATCTCTGCAAACTTTTCAATCTCCAAACGAAAATCACAGTGGGACCACTTAAGAGTCGGCTGATAAGACATCTTACTGGAACACAGAAACTCTGTGTTAAGTCGTCTGCGACATTCAGGCACTTGTGAATATACAGAATACAAACAGAAAAAAGTGTATTTTTCATTTATAATAATGCTTTCAGCAAGAGCAGCACTACTGTGGCTGTAACAGTTTGTCAAAGCCTGATCCCGTCAGATCTCACAAGCTCAGCAAGGCCGGGCCTGGTTAGTACTTGGATGGAGACCGCTGGGAACATCAGGTGCCACGGGGGGGGCGCCGGTCGCAAAAACTGTTGTTGTGTCCTTAGGCAAGGCACTTCACCCACATTGCCTAGTTTGAAAGTGGTGTGTGCGTATAGAGTGAATGAATAATGCTCTGTAAAGTGTCTTCGAGTGTCCAGAAAAGTGTAATATATAAAACTGATGCATTATTATTATTAGAACAGGACCCCGGAGAACTCATTCTGACGAGCATTGTGATTGTAATTACATTTGTGATTTGTGTTTTAATAATAAGATTCTGTTCAAAGTTCACCTTTCACATCCAGAATGACTGACAGAAAGAAAGACTGTAATATGAGCTGACAAACTAAAACAAGAATCCCATTACACGTTAGGTTTTTACAGACATAAACTACAGGCTAAGCCGATTTTTGTGGCGAATAACCCTGCGTTCGATTATCCTTCTGAAACGTTTTTCCGAGGAAGTTGCGTAGCGACACGCATGGCACGCAACTTTTCCTGGGACGGTGCGACTCGGACCTCGGTGGCGGAAAAAGTAGACCGAGCAATATGAACTGTTTTCATTGTGTTTGGACACGTTGCTGGTTTAAATGACTGCACCACGTCTGTGTCACTGTCTATCACGGTGTTGGGGTGAGGCCAATATTGAACAAATACTTGATTTAACAGGTTTTAATGTACCTAAGGTTGCTAAGGGGACATGCAAAACATAATAACACGCTTCAAGCTCAGACATGACATCAAATCCGACGTCCAAGTGTGAGTCGAAAGATAATCGAACGCAGAGTAAGACAGGACATTTTGATGTTTGCGAAACTGTAGCCAATGCGATTTGCTAATTGCCTCCATTCAAATTGCAACTTCTATTTGGTCACGATTCATTTTAGTATAAGATCTAAAAGCAACGTTGCAAATTCCAGCCACAAGGGGTCAGTAAAGGAACAAACTATGTAATTACTTCATTAGGTAGCTGGAGCATTACTTCCTTTCCTGTACCTGAATGAAACAAATAGATATTTTTAACATTCTCGTATAGGCAATAACAATACTATGCCAAATTTAACTAAGTGTATTTCAGTTTCAAAATAACCAATAAATGTTTTAACTTAGCCTGGGATTTACAGGGACATTGTAGGTTGACTGTTGCGCCAAACACAAACTGAGTGATTCAAGCTGTTTCAAGCGCATTGGCACATTTCACTTATTTATACTGCAGTAACTTAAAGGTTGTATAGAGGATTTTCCAAGGAAAGAGAAATACAGCGACTGTTTGTGCTTTTTCTCCTCCACAGCTCCCTAAGTAGACCTGCCTCCTCCTCACACTAGAAATCATGCTTGTTTACAGTCGGTGCACGTTCAGAATCGCTGTTGAAGTTACCTATCCAGAAGTAATTCAGCGACCAACGCGTGAGTCTTTAGACCCTTCGTCTGCTTCAGTCGCGCCACCGCTGGAAGGAATCTCCAAGAATCACCTTAGTTTGTTTTCGCTCCTTTTTCCCTTCTCTTCTTCTTTCAGGGACCTCAAAAACTGACTTTCTTACGCGACAAATTGATTGTGGATTCTTGTCCGCCATCGCAACAAACTCTGTGCTAACTGCGACCAACGCGTGAGTCTTTAAACCCTTCGTCTGCTTCAGTCGCGCCAACGCTGGAGGGAATCTCCAAGAATCACCTTAGTTTGTCTTCGCTCCTTTTCCCCTTCTCTTCTTCTTTCAGCGACCTCAAAAACGGACTTTCTTTAGCGGTGAACTGGTCGTGGATTCTTGTCTGCCATCGCAAAAAAACTATGTGCAAACTGCGAGGAAGCTACAGTTGGAAAAAGCCTGCTAAGAACCGATGCTTTGGTCAAGTAAAAAGCATCTTGCGTATGTGGAAAGTGTAAGTGGCGAACGTAAACCACGTAATCCCAGCGCGCCGATGAGTCAGTTACGCTAGAAACGTAGCGAGTTTGATTGACAACCTAAGAGCCAATAGATAATGCGGTCCACAGTTGATGGATTTTCATTCTTTTGTTTTTTGGTCATCATAATTACAAGGCTGCTGCATCTAGTTTGAACTTTCACTGACAATTTGAAACTAAAAAAATCCTCCATACAACCTTTAAACCGTTCACATTTTTCTCCAAGGTCCATTTGTGCCACAAAAACTGAACAATATCTTAACATTGTTTTGTACAAGTTAAACTCACACTTTACTTTTGAGCTGCTGGAGTCATTGTCAGTCAATTATCATTCACTCAAATATTGATTTTAAAAACAAAAACCACACAGTTAGTTTTGTCTTCTAGTTCTCCACCGCTGGTATAGTGCTGACTTTGTTGTTGCGGCTGATCCTTCGCTCCGGTTTGGGGCGAGGCATCTTGGTCTGGATCAGCTCTTCCGGCGTGTTACCCAGAGGGGGTAGTAGTCTCTTCTTGCTGTTCCTGGTCTCTGGTAACCATTGTGGGGGCAGCTCAAACGGACCGAACCCGCACTGGGTGGCATCCTCGGCGTCGGTGGGCGTAGCTGGCGTAGCGGGGGCCACCTGAGAAGAAGAAGCGTACGCGCAAGTGTGTCCGGGCGAGGAACGCGCTGGTATCACGATCGGGCCCGGGTATTCCTTCGTTTTGACTAATCCTTGGTCCTTTTTCGGAGCCACGTCCAAGCTCCTCAGACTTCCAACTTTCTCTTTGGGCAAGGACGAACCTTCTAACCCGTTTTCCGCGTCTTCTTCCTCCTCTTCCTCGGGTCGAAAGATTTGCTGCTGTCCGATATTGAACATTTCCAGGAGCTGACTGCCCGATCTCCCTGCGGTTTCCAGTCCGACAGGTTCTCCGATCCCGCCCTCCACGCCTAAAGACCCGAGCGCGCCCGTCGTCACCGCGTTTCTCCGGCTGTACCTTCTGTGAATCCTGGTTAGCAAGTCCAACCAGCTATGCCGCGCCGATCTGTTCACCAACAAAAACAAAATCGGATTCGTGAGAAGAGAAACTTTCGGAAGCCATAGCGCTGTAAGGTAAAGCAGCATGGGCGTGTCTTTAGAGTCTACTAAAATTGTCCGATATATCACCAAGACTCCGTAGGGGGCGCTACAGGCGGAGAACACCAACACCACCGCTAGTAACGTCGCGTGTAGCTCCGCCTCCCTTTGCGACACGTACGGAATCGAAATGCTATTCTGCGGCGTCCTCAGTGCGGCGATGATGACTTTCTTCTTTTGGCTCGCGCTCAACGCTCGCCGGATCAGCAACATGAAGAGAAAGACCAGAGCGAGCGGCAGGATCAGCGTCGTGAGGTTGTAGATCAGGACGTAGATCATGTGACCGATGGAGTGGGCGTGGTCTGCGGAGCAGGAGGAAGTGGCGTAGACGTCGGTGACATTGGTGACGGCGAAAACGGGGAGGCTAGCGACGGCCGCGTGCACCCAGATGTAGATGATCAGGTCGCGGGAGCGAGCGTCCGAGATCTTCCTCTCCGAAGGGTAAAGCACGGAGTAGTACCTGCAAAGACAGAGGGTAAAAAAGTCAAGTTTGAACTGATAAATCAACCAGGACTAAAACAGGATTAAAACAGGACTCAACCAGGACTGAACCAGGACTGAACCAAGACTAAAACAGGACTAAACGAGTATTAAAACAGGACTGAACCAGAACTGAACCAGGACTGAACCAGGACTAAATCAGGATTAAACCAGGACTAAACCAGGATTAAAACAGGATTAAAACAGGACTAAAACAAGACTGAACCAGGACTGAACCAGAACTGAACCAGGATTGAAGCAGGACTAAACCAGGACTGAACCAGGACTAAACCAGGATTAAAACAGGATTAAAACAGGACTAAATCAGGACTAAACCAGGACTAAACCAGGACTAAACCAGGACTGAACCAGGACTGCACCAAGACTAAAACAGGACTAAACGAGTATTAAAACAGGACTGAACCAGGACTGAACCAGGACTGAACCAGGACTAAAACAGGACTAAACTAGGACTGCACCAAGACTAAAACAGGACTAAACGAGTATTAAAACAGGACTGAACCAGAACTGAACCAGGACTGAACCAGAACTGAACCAGGATTGAAGCAGGACTAAACCAGGACTGAACCAGGACTGCACCAAGACTAAAACAGGACTAAACGAGTATTAAAACAGGACTGAACCAGAACTGAACCAGGACTAAATCAGGACTAAACCAGGACTAAACCAGGATTAAAACAGGACTAAAACAAGACTGAACCAGGACTGAACCAGAACTGAACCAGGATTGAAGCAGGACTGAACCAGGACAGAACCAGGACTAAACCAGGACTATATCGGGACTGAACCAGGAATAAAACAGGATTAAAACAGGACTAAACTAGGACTGCACCAAGACTAAAACAGGACTAAATGAGGACTAAACCAGAACTGCACCAGTACTGAACCAGGACTGAAACAGGACTAAAACAGGATTAAAACAGGACTGAACCAGAACTGAACCAGGATTGAAGCAGGACTGAACCAGGAGGGCTAAACCAGGACTGAACAAGGTCTAAACCAGGACTGAACCAGGACTAAACAGGACTAAACCAGGTCTAAAACAGGACTAAAACAGATCTGAACCAGAACTGAACCAGGATTGAAGCAGGGCTGAACCAGGAGGACTAAACCAGGACTGAACTAGGACTAAAACAGGGGTTCTCTCTCGAGATTAGACCTAGACCTGGTTTACTTCTGGTTTAGTCCTGTTTTAGTCCTCATTCAGTCCTGGTTTAGTTCAGTTTTGGTCCTGGATTAGTCCTGATTTAGTCCTGGTTTAGATCTGGTTTAGACCTGGTTTAATCCTGGTTTAGTCCTGTTTTAATCCTGGTTTAGTGTTGGTTTAGACCTGGTTCAGCCCTGGTTTAGTCTTGATTCAATCTTGGATCACGTCACGAATCCCGCCCCCCACTTTAAAAAAAACCCACTCCACCACTTCCTCTAATATAATTAAATAAAAACTAGATGAAAAGACATAAATGAGCCTCATTAAAATGAACAGAAAGGATGAGTGGTGCTTGAAATGACTCAGTCCTAACCAGACCCAGGATTGTGGATGTGCCTCTCTGTAATTTGTAAAGTAAAAAAAAATCCCGCCGCAAATTACCTACAATATTTCACCAAACACAGACGTCCGGAGATAACAACAGTCCTGTGTATTTCACTGTTTGTTCTTGTAACTGCGCGTCTTTTCTATCTCTTTATTTTCTTTCCGCTTTCTTTTCTTTTTCAATCTCTGTGTCAATTTCAGTAAAATTAAGTAATTTACCGACTTTGCTTCTCCCGTGCAAATGTTCTGCAGGTAACACAGAGGTGAGGCGGTAATTTATGAATTACCAGACGTTTTTTTAATGAAGGGCTCGCCACCAGTTTGTCTCCTAGAAGATGTTACTGCTTTTCCTGGAATGCTGCACAGTATGGCATTAAAAGTATCTGCATGTCCATGTATACAATGATATTTTTTAAGATTTTTAAACATGTATTCGTAATGTGAGAGGTGTTGCTCTCCACTGTAATCTGGCTTGGAGATAAGAAAGTTTAATGGAACACGTTTAGCCACGTTTACATGATGTTTTTCTAATCTGAATTAATTGTTCTAAATTATAGTCTGGAATTAAAATATTCTCCTTTGAGTTTACATGGAAATAATAATTCAGAATTGAGGTTTACATGGAAAACAGGTTAAATCGCCTTAACTTAATTCCACTCAATGTCTGGGATTTGGGAAGGGTTCTGATTGGACAGAGACACGAACGTATTTACATCGACAGAAAGAAAACACACACTTCAGCTGCTTACCGGCTTTTTTGTCATCTCGGTTTGTCATTACGCCACAGACACAAACACGATCCAAAATTTTTAAGCAGCAGTTCAAGAATTCGGTCATCATGCTTTACGTCTGTCAACCGAGGAGGAGAGTGTTGGAGTGTCAGTTCTCAGGGAGAAGGGAGGAAGAAGACAAACTGAGTCAGCGGCTGCTCTACCTCAGTCCACTCCCACATCCCGCTGGCAAATCCAAAGAGCAGCGGATGAAAGTCCGAAGTCAGGACTGGTGGAGCTGGATCGCGTCAGAAAGGCGAACCAACGCGCATGCACTGAACGACCGGAATTATTTTTAAGAAGAATAAACATTTACATGATCGAGGAATGAATTAATTCAACTTTAAAATCAAAACAAACCACCCACTTACTTCGGAATTAAGTTTAATTCATATACATGCTCTTTTTAAAGCAGAATTATGTTTTATTCAGAATTAAGTTATTTTTATTCAGAATTAAAGCTGTCATGTAAACGTGGCAATTCTAGCTTTAGAAATAAGATCTTTATGAAGACGAGCAGCTGGTGGCCCCTGAGTGTGGATTTACCAAACCGATACTGGTATTGGATACTGGCACCAATTCTAGAAAGAACAGTGGAGTCGATATTCTGGACATATAAATATATTTATTTATACCAATCTACTCCCTTCCAAGTAGCTTGCCAAAGGATTTCTGAATTCTACTTATTGTAAGTCAAATTTTATTAATTAAATGCCTATTACCAATGTATTTGTATGACTTTGATGCCCAATTTTGTGCACTAATAAATGGATAATAGTTTATGTTTATAGGCATCTAACTGTACCTCATCTACGGCTCACCGTGGCTCTTCTATTCACCAAATTTCATCCATTAAAAGTAGTAACTCTCTTGACATTTTTGTAGTAGCTCACAGGAGGAAAAAGATTACAGACCCCTGATTTATACAGTATGTCCAACCAGAATATACACATAAATAGATGTAATAACACTGTTTAATAGTCGTAGTCGGCCTAGAAAGTCCCAGAATGTTTGAGCTTGTATTTATACAAAGCTGTTACATAACACATTTGGATCTATTCTGTCAAGGGATGTAACAATATCCAAATTTCACGGTATGATATTTATTGCAATATTTTGGAGAGGCTAATATAATTGTAGATAGATAGATGCTTTTAAAATACCTTGACAAGATTTTGGTGTGAATTATTTCCGTCATAATCCCAAGAAATCAAGTAAAAAACATATTTCTTCATGTCGTTTGCAGTGAAATGAATCATGGGATATGTAGTTCCCGATGTTTATAAGCTGTTGCTACTATAAAACCATTTATTTAAACAAAGGAACTTGTAATTTGATATTATTGTGACACTTTTGACGATACGATGTCACAATATTTTGGTTATTGTTACATCCCTAGTTCTGTCTTATTTTGATTTAGTTGATTAACAATGAGCAGCTTTACCTGTGTGGATCTCAGAATGAATTTAACATAGAAAATACATCTTTAAATCATTTTTGAGGCTAGTTAAAGTTTTTATTCCCATGGTCTGCTACACTGATGTTATTCTTTTGTGTGCATATTTGAGCATAAGTGTAGTTTTTATTATTAATAGGCCTGGCTGCCATCCATGTCTAAGTATGCGAAGTACTTTTGTCCATTTAAAAGCGTATTTCGAAGTTTAAAATGACCCAAAAAGGACAATAAGGACCATAGCAAAGCACAGAACAACGCACACAAAGAAACGATAATAAAAATAAACGGTCAACAATGCTCGCTTTGTTATTCCAGTCAAATCGCTGTCTATCTTTGCAGCTAGTTTCATTCAAATGTGGGCGGTCACAAGAGCGCACTTACACGACCAAACCTCTGTGATTTGGACCGAGAATAATAAACCTACGTCGCCTCTCGTCTAAAACTATTCCCCTATTGTGCACTGTAACAACGTCCTCTCATTCCTTTTCATGGCCCGTACGTCACGATGCGTTCGAGTGCATATAAGCTGCCCCGCGGAGCCTCCTTCAGAATAAATAATTGATAGTATTCTGGCTGTATTAGTTGCCATGGAGACATCATCTTTGCATTGGCGTACGGCATGAGGCGAGACCGCAGCGACTATGAAGTAAAAATTAAAGTCCCATGTACGCGGAATAGAATAGTTTCAATATCTAGTTATAATAAGGTTGTCAAAAGTATCGAAAATCTGATTCTAAACGGTATTATAAGCAGTATCGAAACTTCATTTGAGCGAGTATCGATACTGAAATGGAAATGAACCTTTCTTGAATAGCTTTAGAATAAATAAATCTTGAGCTGCATCAGAAAAAGTAGGGCTGTTCGATTATGGAATTATCAGGATTATTTTGGTCAATACTGATGGCAATTTGGATTTGTGTGTCAAACAATCTCCAAACTCACATAATCAAGTTGAAATTATTCAAGTTTAAAGTTTATTTTGGGTATTTATTTTATTTTTTTAAATACAGAGATTGTAGAACAGCTGGATATTTTGTTTATTTAGATACATTTATGTTTTTTATGACTTATTTCATGTTCAAAGTATATTTTATTAATTTTATGTTTTATACATCGCAACACTGCTCTACGGTTCATATTTGTAACCTATTTTTGTGTAGATAATATCAAATTACAAGTTTCTTTGCTTAAATTCATGGTTT